CTCACAAAAGGAAAAGGGTGCTCAACCTGAGTAAAATGGAGCAGAGGATCCAATAGGGGAACAACAGCACAGAATAAGTAAGAAGGTAATACTGGAGTACCTGGTTAACCTAAATGAATTTAAGTTCCAGGACCAGATGAACTACATCCAAGGATATTAAAAGAACTGGCAAATGTAATTTTAGAGCCACTGGCAATAATCTTTGAGAACTACTGGAGAACATGAGAAGTCACAGCAGACTGGAGGAGGGCAAACATTGTCCCCATCTTCAAAAAGGGGAATAAAGAGGATCTCAACAACTATTGTTCAGTTAGTCTGACATCAATACCAGGAAAGATTCTAGAGCAGATCATTAAACAGAGAGTCTGTGAACATTTAGAAAGGAATGCCATAATCAGAAAAAGTCAACATGGTTTCTCAAAAACAAGTCATGCCAGACTAATCTGATCTCTCTCTCTCTCTCTCTCTCTCTCTTTTTTTTTTTTTGATAAAATTACCAGCTTGACAGATGAATGGAATGCATTAGACATAGCATATCTTGATTTCAGTAAGGCTTTTGACAAGGTCCCCCATGATATTCTTGCTAACAAGACAGTAAAATGTGGGCTAGACCATACAACTGTTAGGTGGATTAGTAACTGGTTAACTGACCGAACCCAAAGGGTGCTCAGCAATGGCTCTTCTTCCTCCTGGAGAGAAGTGACCAGTGGGGTGCTACAGGGTTCTGTCCTGGGCCCAGTGCTATTCAACATCTTTATCAACGATTAGAATGTTGGAATAGGGCATGCTTCTCAAATTGCAGATGACACTAAATTAGGAGGAATAACCAATACCCCAGAGAACAGGATCAAAATTCAAAGCAACCTTAATAGATTAGAAAGCTGGGCCAAAGCTAACAAAATAAATTTCAACATTGAGAAATGTAAGGTACTGCATTTAGGGCAAAAACTGAAATGCATAGGTATAAGATGGGGGACACCTGGCTTAATGAGACTACGTGTGAAAGGGATCTAGGAGTCCTAGTAGACCACAAGTTGAACATGAGTCAACAGTGTGATGCGGCAGCTAAAAAGGCCAATGCGATTTTAGGCTGCATCAATAGACGTATAGTATCTAGATCAAGGGAAGTAATAGTGCCACTGTATTCTGCTTTGGTCAGGCCCCACCTGGAATACTGTGTCCAGTTCTGGGCACCACAATTCAAAAAGGATGTTGAAAAACTGGAGTTTGTCTAGAGGAGGGTGACTAAAATGGTGAAGGGTCTGGAAAACATGCCCTATGAGGAATGACTTGGGAAACTGGGTATGTTTAGCCTAGAGAAGAGACGGTTAAGAGGTGATATGATAGCCCTGTTTTAATATTTGAAGAGATGTCATATTGAGGAGAGCGCTTGCTTGTTTACTGCTGCTCCAGAGAATAGGACCCAGAACAACAGATGCAAGCTACAGGAAAAGAGATTCCAGCTCAACATTAGGAGGAACTTCCTCACAGTGAGAGCTGTTCGACAGTGGAACACACTCCCTCGGTGTGTGATGGAGTCTCCTTCTTTGGAGGTCTTTAAACAGAGGCTGGATAGCCATCTGTCGGGGATGCTTTGATTTTGAGTTCCTGCATGGCAGGTGGTTGGACTGGACAGCCCTTGTGGTCTCTTCCAATTCTGTGATTCTATGATTCTTTGATTCATTCTTGTCAATGTCCTCCCTTGAATTGTGGTGCCCAGAACTGGACACTATATTCTAGATAAGGTCTGATCAAAGCAGAACAGAGTGGCATTATTACTTCCCCTGAGACACTGTACTTTTTGAAGATGGTAACAACACTTGCCTTCCTCCAATCTTCTGGGACTTCTCCTGTTGTCTAAGAGTTCTCAGAGATTATTGTCAGTGGATCTGAGATTATCTCTGCCAGTTCTTACAATATCATGAATGTAGTTCTCCCGGCCCTGGAGTCTTGAATTCATTTAGGGTAACCAGGCATTCCTGTACTACCTCTTTACCTATTCTGTACTGCATCATTTGCTCCATTTTCCCCAGGTTGAACGCTGTTTTCCTTTTGGGAGAAGACTGAGGCAAAGATGTTGTGGAGCTCTGCCTTTCCTCTGTCCCCTGGTAGCATTCCATCATCTTCTCCATGGACATAACCAAAGAAGCCTTTTTTATTATTTTGATACAGTTTCTTTCTGATGGTAAGAAGCAGAAAAAGTTATAATTAATAGTCTCTCGGAACATCAGTTGCATACTTTTATAAAGCATTTCAACCCATTGACTTTCTTTTCATGTCACATCATGCCAATGATGGAAAATCTCAGTGTGTGTGTGTGTGTGTGTGTGTTTACAATCAATAGCATAACTTAAAACTATTTTAAACAATTGAGTTAATTTAAAACAATGTAATTTGGGAATAGAGGTGAACATCATGGCCTGAGTAAAATGGTTAATTCAATGAAAGTAGAAACACTGAATCAATAGGATTTACATGTTTATTTACTCTCGAGCAATTGATTTAATGGCTTTCTTCTACTTGGGATTTAGGTCGCTGAGTTCAATTCAGTTTACTTCTAGGTAAATTCATATAGGATCGCAGCCAAAATATTGCACACTGGCTAGATTGTGATAGAGAAGTAGTCAGGCAGATAGATAAACACACACAAGTACAAGCTAGATTTAACATATTTATTTGTGTCATATATCATCTCAGCTGGTATAAAATTTGGATGCAAATCAAGTTGTGTTTTAAACATTCCCTTCAGGAAGCTAAAACAAAATGGAGTGAATTCTTTATGCTTTTCATTATTGAAAATTGACTTTCCCCCTCTCCCTTTAGGATCTTTTTCTGCACCCCTACCCTGATGCCATTTTGGGGCTAGGGTGAGGAAGAGTAGGGAAGACACTCTTGATGTTTCACAGCACTTTACAACAGCTTGCTTGCTATTTGTTCTCGAAAGTCACCAATATATCTCCATTCATCTCTTTATCTATTTGTAACTATAAACTAACAGTGCTGTCACCTCCAGTATTTACGCCATTGACTTATGATTACTTTTTTTTATTAAATAGGGAGAGGGAAGGGGAAAACCCACCAACACTCAATCCATTTGTTAGAAACAAATCTCTCTCTTTCCTTCCCTCTGCCCTTTCTTTCTCACACCTCCACACCCCTATTTAAGGTGTCTGCTAACCATTTACAATATTGCTGGCAATTTACAGTTTTTCCCTTGAAAACAACTGGAGGGGGGTTGTTTTATGCCTTTCAGTAAGTATGTTGGGAGAACTAGAGCTCTTTTAAAAACATTTATCTCACTAGTCAAGCATCTGAATGTTATTTATGAGGAGCTGAGATCCCCGTCATCCAAGGAATTGCTTTGTTAGGGAAAGTGTGTTTTATGTTTCCTGTGCTGAGAGTCAATGTGGGGTAGTGGTTTCAGTGTTGGACTACAACTCCAGAGACCAGGGTTCGATTCCCAGCTTGGCCATGAAACCACTGGTTGACCTTGGACAAGTCACATGCTCTCAGCCTCAGGGGAAGGCAATGACAAACCTCATCTGAACAAAGCTTGCCAAGAAAGCCTCATGATAGGTTCACCTTACGGTTAACATAAATTGGAAACAACTTGAAAGCAAAAAAACAAATACACACACAACACACAGCTGAGTTAAACACTGGCTGTAAAGCCCAAACGGTAAGACAACCTGCATCCCCTCTCCTATCTCTCCAGGAATGTGTAAATGGAAATTATCATTATATAACTTTCTGTGCATGTTTCCTTGACCCATGCTGTCTTTCAGTAGCTGCCACCTTTGAGTACAGAATGAGGAAATGAGAATGTGGTGATGTTACAGTCATAGAATCATAGAGTTGGAAGAGACCACAAAGGCCATCCAGTCCAACCCCCTGCCATGCAGGAACTCAAAATCAAAGCACCCCCGACAGATGACCATTCAGCCTCTGTTTAAAGACCTCCAAAGAAGGAGACTCCATCACTCTCCAAGGGAGTGTGTTCCACTTTCGAACAGCTCTCACTGACAGGAAGTGCCTCCTAATGTTGAGGTGGGATCTAACCAGTCTCCATTTGGCAGGGGTCTTTTCCAACCCTGTGCTGTTGGGGATTCACCCTGGGTTTTTGTGCACGAGAACTGTTTGTTGTTGTCCTGTTGTATGCCTTCAATTCATTTCCAGCTTATGGAGACTCTAAGGCAGGGGTCCCCAAACTACGGCCTGTGGGCCGAACCCAGCCCGTTGAGGCCTTTCAACCAGCCCGTGGCCAGTCCTGCCACTGCCACTGCACGTGTGACCAAGGCACCATTTTGTGTTGCAAAATGGCGCCTGCCATCACGCGTGCATGCACGACTCCGGGTGCCATTTTGGAACACAAAATGGTACCTGAGTAGTGTGCATGCATGTGCGATGCCAGGCCCATGCGCACGACTCCGGGTGCCATTTTGGAATTTTTTTTCTGGCCCTCCAAAGATCTGGGGGACAGCAAACCGGCCCCCAGATAAAAAAGTGTGGGGATCCCTGCTCTAAGGCAACTCTGTTGTGCAGTTTCCTTGACAAGATTTGTTCAGAGAAGGTTTGCCATTGCCTTTCCCTGAGGTTGAGAGCATGTGACTTGCTCAAGGTCACCCAGTGGGTTTCACAGCTGAGCTGGGAATTGAACCCCACTCTCCAGAGTCATAATCCAACACTCAGACCACTATGCCATGCTGGTTCTACATGTGAACTGTACCCTCTTCCAAAATTTGTCTCAATGATTGAGAAAAAGGAAACAGAGATTTCCCCCCACCAATGTGAGTTTCACCAGAGTATTCAAATGGAGGTAGCAGGAGAGGTGAGGCTGTTGCTAAGTCCCTTTCCCTTTTGCTGGCAACCACAGCATCAGCCTTCTTCAAGGCCACCCTCCCTTCCTCTCCCCAAAGTAATCTTTGTAGAGATTGACTGTGAGCCTACAGAGATCATTTGAAGAATCGCTGATCTCTGCATTTTCTGGCTGGCGTGTTTATTTTGTGCAGAACTGCTGATTCTGTCAAGCTGTCTGGGAACATCTGGGCTCTGGGGAGGTGAGCCAAAAAAATATGACGTTGTCAGACCTTTCGGTGTCATGCTTTGGGACAGGCCTTTGCCCTTATCTTCCTAGAGTCATCTTCGTCTTCCTAAGATTACTTCTTTGTTCTCATTTATATCATGAAAGCTTCTTGGTTAACCAGCAGAGGCAGGGAACTCATTGGGTGGGAGCCCTGTGTGGAAAGAAGGGAGGGTGGAAGGGATGATGGGAATCCCAGTGGTCATTTGGATAAGAAGAAGAATTGGGTCTGCTTATGGCAAGCATATGGTTCTCCAAAAGGCACTGAGTATCCATGTCCCCAGGCCCTTTTAACTATACAGTTATAGCACTCTTATTCTGCTTCAGCTGTCATGTCTGAATCCAATGGAATCCTGGGGTTTGTAGTTGATCACTAGAGGAGATCACTGCCTGAGGATTGTAAAGGCTCCAGCTCCCAAAGTGAGAGCCAGCTTGGTGTAGTGGTTTGAGTGTGGGACTACAACTGGAGACCATGGTTGGATTCTCAGCTTGGCCATGAAACCCACTGGCTGACCTTGGGGGAATCACATGCTCTCAGCCTCAGGGGAAGGCAAAGGTAAGTCTCCTCTGAATAAATCTTGCCAAGAAAACTCTGTGATACAGGGTTGCCTTAGGGTAGCCATAAGTCAGAAATGACTTGAAGGCACACAGCGACAAGCCCACAAACTACACATCCCCTGATTCCATAGGATGAAACCCACGGTGTAGCTGGGTGGTGGGGACAAATGAGTGCATTGCTTTCCTGAATAAAAATTCTGCTGCTCTGAATAAAATTCTTCATTCCCAAATGTCTAGCATTGCAGAGAGAGAGAGAGAGAGACACTGAAAATTGCTCATGCCCAGAACTCTTCTACTGACCATTTTTGCATTCCCTTCCACACTTTCCCTGTCTCTTTTCTTTGGCTGCCCAAATTGGCAAGTCCTCAACTGAAATTTTAATTTACTGCAATGCTGGAAAACTGGGGAGTGAAGGAAGATTTTTTTGGGGGGGGGTTATTTGAATGGAATGCCCTCAAAACAGCCCCCCCCCGGTATTATACCCCTGATGGACGTATAGCTGTTGATGTGGAATCGTAGCAGTATCATTGTGTCGTGTGAACTCCCCTAGACTTCATGCAGCAAATATCCATTGTTTGCTAGGTGGACATGTCCTATTTTACAGTCCTCTATTTGCAGAGCAGTCCAAGGACAAAAAGATGTCAAAGGTTCCCAAACTATCTGCATGTGCTAATTTATCAGTACTGATGTCGATGCCGAAGCCGTCACACCTGGTAAGTAGAAGCAGGTCCAAAACACACTGCAGAACTAATCCAGTTTGAGACTTCTTTAACTGCCCTGGCTCAACGCTAGGGAATTCTGGGAACTATAGTTTTGTGAGGCTTTCAAACTGGATTATTTCTACAGTGTGTTTGGACCACAGAGTAAAGTTCAGTACATTGGGGAAGACTCAGATGGGGTAACGTAAACACCTGTTCAATCTGCCTCCTAGATTCTCACTGTGTGTGGAAGGGCTGCATCAAAACCCTTCCTCTGCTTTCTTCGAATTTTTTATCTTCAGACTTGAGGGCAAGCCCTCTGTCTTAAGCATTAGCAGCACTCTCTTTGAAGGTGCCTTTCTCTAAAGGGTTGTCTTCAAGTCCAGTTCTTCTTTAAACTTTAAATAAAGTGGAAGACTAGGGAGGGGTCTTGACATTGACCATCCACATTGGCCATCTTGACTGGAACACAAAGCAGCTTATACATTAAAATAATTACAACATAGTTAAAAACATCCACAGCTAGACAAGTGGGCACTTGGGTCACCTGGTTACAAGCTTCCTCTTATGGGATGCATTTCTATCCAAATTAAAGTACTTCCCCCCTTATTGCATCAATACTTACACATCAGGGGGTATAGGAAATATGAAGATGTCTGTCCTCTTTGTTTGTGATGCTTTCCCTCTCTTTGAGTGATTGACCACCTTCATTAGTTTCTGATCATGTGAAAAAATTGGAATCTCTCACTCTCTATCTCTCTGTGCCTTCATGACACCTGTTGATATGTTGAGTAAAACATAATGCCTAATGCTTGCTAGTTTTCCAAAAGCTGATTGAGTGAAACCCTGGAAGATTTACTTCTTGGGGATGGAGGGCTGTCTACATGCTTTTCTTTATATGTTCACAAAAGAAAAGGAAAGAAAAGAAGTTAGAAAGCTGAACATTCAGGGAAGGCTTCCAGAATCTCCCTGAGGGAGCCAGGACTTAGCAGATTTTCCAGTGATCCCTTCTGGCTTTGGCCATGGTTCTGCATTTTCACCTCCCCCTTTTCTGTTCAGCCTTGAATTACGGTTGGGGATACATCCCATTAGTTCACATTTAATAACAGAGGGGGAGCAGGCCAAAAGTCAGACCAGTTTCTTTTTTTAACCTCTTGGGCATTTGCCAACATATATTTATATGCATCACAAAATCCCCTCCCCTTTTCCCAAAGCTACATTCAGCTGTAAAAATATCATTCCCAGCACAGTTGCATGTGTCTATAATAATTAAGTATATAATACTTTCCAGAACAGAGGCATAGGAATGGAGAATGCACTTAGCTCTTCAGATGTAGTTGAACTGCAGTTCCCATTGGCTAAGGCTGATGGGAGTTGTAGTCCTAAAACACCTAAAAATCTCAGATGTTCCCTACCCCTGACTTCGGAGGTAGCCTTCAAAACATAGGTGGGCAGTAGGTACATGACCAGTTTCTGGTGGACCACTTGGTGTTAGCTGGGTTTGTTTGCTGGGTTTCTTACAAAGAATGTAAGAATATATGGGTGGTATTTAGGTCTTATCTAACAAAGGTACACCATGTCTCCATAAACAAGAAGACATACTGAGAATCATGTGACAGGCATTCATTGCGAAGAGATCCTAAGTATTCACTCTCACTTTGTAAACTGGAAAAGTATCAAGAAAGTTGACTATTTCAGTTCAGGAATTTTTGGCATTGACTACCATTCTCTGTCCTGTGATGAATGGATATTAAAGGCTCAGGACTGGGCTTTCTCAGGCTCATTTTCTTGTTCGGGGGGGGGGGGGGGGGGGAGTTCTTTCTTTTGTCTTGTTATTGCATTCTTCCCACTCTAGATCCCTGTTGATTTGTGAGAATTTAAAAAGGAAATTATTGAATTTTCCTTATGAGTACAAAACAGGTAGAGAAGATAATAGGGAGGAACACATAAGCTTCTTGAGATACACAGTTGTCCCTCCCGATTCATGGGGGATCTGTTCCGAACCTCCCCATGAATCAGAAAAACCACAAATATTCAAAGTCCATTGGTTAAAATGGGTGCATGCTTTGCGTGCAGTGCTGCGCAATGCCTCAAACACATGCACCATTTAGTCCTTCCCCACTTGCCGGCTGCGAA